TTACTGAGGGCACACTCAATCCCCTCATCCAGGTCATTGATAAAGATACTAAACAGAACTGGCCCCAGAACTGAGCCCTGGGGAACACCACTTGTGACCGGCCGCCAACTGGATTTAACTCTGTTGACTACAACTCTCTGGGCTCGGCTGTTCAGCCAGTTTTTTACCCAGTAAAGAGTGAACTTGTCTAGGCCATGAGCTGCCAGCTTCCAGGAGAATGCTGTGGGAGACTGTGTCGAAGGCTTTGCTGAAGTCCAGGTATACAACATCCGCAGCCTTTCCCTCATCTACCAGGTGGGTCACCTGGTCATAAAGGAAATCGGTCTGTAGTTCCCTGGATCTTCCTTCCTGTTCTTGTAGATGGGCATCACATTTGCCAACCTCCAGTCATCTGGGCCCTTCAGCACTCTTGGGTGGATCCCGTACGGCCCCATAGACTTGTGGATATCCAGGTGGCATAGAAGGTCAAAAACTGCTTCCTCCTGGATTATGGGGGGTTTATTCCACTCACCATCCCTCTCTTCCAGCTCGGGGGGCTGAATACCTTGGGGATAACTTGTTGGGCTATTAAATAGCCCAACAAAAATAGACAAAGGCGGCATTAAATATCTCAGCCTTTTCCTCATCCTTAGTGGCAATGTTCCCCATTGCATCCACTAGAGGTTGGAGGTTCTCCCTGGCTCTCTTTTTGCTGTTAATGTATTTGTAAAAAGTTTTTTTATTCTCTCTTACAACAGTGGCCAGGTTGAGTTCTAGATGGGCTTTTGCCTTTCTAATTTCCTCTCTACAGGACCTGATGAGATCCCTGTACTCTTCTTGGGTTGCCTGCCCCTTCCAAAGCTGGTAAGCTCTCCTTTTCTTACTGAGTCTCAGTAAAAGATCCCTATTCAGCCAGGCTGGTTGTCTTCCCTGCCAATTCGTCTTGCAGCCCATGGAGACAGGCAGCTCCTATTAATGTTGGCTAACTACCATTGTGTTTATCTGCAGCTAAGGAGAGAAGCTCTTTCTTAAAACTAGATTTATGCCAGCTCATTTATGCCAGACATCTTAAAGTAAGGTGGTTTTGTGTTCTTGTACTACTAATGAAATAGTTTAGGATAGCTTCTGTGAGTGACTCTGCGGCATCTTTTCTGATAGCCAGTGCTTGGGTTAAGCTGCAAACAAACATTACTCTGTCAAAATTCCATGTGTCTTTTTCTTTTTGCTTTGCTCACTTTGAGCCCAAAATACCAGGAACTTAATTACAACAGAAAGTGGATTATTTCTGCATTGGAACTTCTCATACATCTGGAGTACCGTGTCCAGTTTTGGGCTTCTCAATGCAAGAAAGGCACTAATGTAGTGGAGTAAGTCCTAGTGGAGGGCTGCTGAGATGGTGGGGTGGCTGCACGGCGTGAGCTGCAGGGAGAAGAAGCTGAGGAATTAGGCTTGTCCTTAAGTGGCATGCAAAGCATTTAATTTGCAATGAAATCTTCCTGTCTTTTTTTTTTTTTTAAAGTTGGCACGAGGCACACAGGCATACGTTTTATGTAATATAAATGTTAAATCAAAGTAGTTGGCAAAGTGTTGATGTATTTCTCTTGCCTGAGTACTGAATTTTTTTTCAAAGGAGAGGAAGAAACTAACAGTGCTTATGTGTTAGATATGACACAAATGTCCATACTGATATGTTACTTGTCTGTGTGATAGCTATCAGTATCTGCTTTAAAATGTTCATTAAAATGCATTTATTGCCGTTTGTGCACATAATTGGGACTCGCAAAGCTGTTTCTCCTTAGATCAAATAAAACTCTCAAGTTGAAGATATATGCACTTTCACAAGCAGAATATTACAGCTTTATATTTTTGGAAAAAGTGGTTGTATAATGGTATACAGCTAATGATTTCCCTAGCTTTGCTCCTGCCTGCCACTTTGCCTAATCAGTAACTTCAATTGAAGTGGATGGAGTAGATGGGGTGGAGGTTTAATCATGTCATAAATACTTTCTGCCTCAATTCTTTAGCTGTCTATACTTCTAGCTTGGCAGGGTTGAAATGGTTTAGATTTAAGAAATCTGCATCTTACACTGGGAATTAGTTTGTGGTATCTCCTTTTCCTTAGGGATGTTTGTCATGTAGTACTGGCTTAGGGACAGTTTCAGAGAGGAAAATGTAAGAGCTAGTAGATTAAAAAAGGAGAGGGGGATTACTGGAGCAGCAAAAGTAAAGATGGTCCTTTTTTTATTTTTTTTCTTCTTTTTATCTGAGGGCAGAGTACTCTGATGAATAGCCATAGGTCTTTATAAGGGTTATTTGAGGAGGGTTGTATTCTGAGAAGAAAGAAGTCCATGTTTAGTAGCTCACATCAAGCATTGTACTGCATTAGAGGTCATTCTTGGTGTGGATGAAAGTCTGTATTTGAGGTACTGAAAGATATTGGTGGAAAGCCTGAAGCGTAAGGGCAAGAGAAGATAGCAAAGGAAGAAACAAATAGTAAGAGAAATTGAAGAGGTATAGGGTTGAGCATTCTCAGTATCAAGCATTTACTCTTTTTTTTTTTTTTTTTCTTTTAAATAGGTCATGGGGGAGTGCACTAATAAGCAGAGTTAAAAAACTTGAAATGAAGGCCTTCTCAACTTAAATGTGCTTCTGAATTCATAATACAGTTTCCTCAGGTTGAGAAGAGTTAGATAGGAAGCAGAGGAGAGACAAGTTGTTTTAAATTAATATTCACATTTCACTTGTAACCAATTAGTGCCTTTGTAAGTGGCTAATTAACTTAAATGTTCGGCTCATGAGATCCAAATCCTCTGGGGAGAAAAAAAACCCCAACCCTGCTAGTTCTGGCACTCATGGAACAACTTGTTTGTCTTCTATGTAGATATACAAATATTTTAGCTTCCTTAAGCTAATCGCTGAGCATTAGATTTACGAGTGTAGTTGTTCAAAAATGAACTTTAAGGTTATAATTTCCAAAGTGATTTTGGAAGAGTCCGGTGGAGGAACCTTTTCTGACTTCTTTAGTTCTACCAAAGACTAATCACTGGCACGGTTTGAATGCTGCTTCTGCATAGTTTCAAAAGAAATCTCAGCGCTCTTATAGATTGCAATATTAAACTCTGGAACACAGGCCACCTTTAGGGACAGTAGGTTGAGCAGCTAGAGTAATACAGTATTTTATTTATATTTGATTATTTTTGGTTCTGTGACTTTTGGTATTTTAAAAACTGATACCCTGATGCTTAATTTGTGACTTGTAAAGTTGCTAAAAACATTGGAAATCCAACAGATGTGGGGAGTGGGAAGTCAAATACATGTGGGTGTTTTACTTATGAACTTGCTGAAACTCTCCCCTGCTTTGAAGGGCATTCCATGCCTCATGTCTTAAACTTTTTGTTGTTCTCAGTTAGTACAAGTTAGTGGTGGAAAATAAGTATTTAAACTTGTCTAGAGAAATGGTAGCTTCCTCAGGTGAAAAAAAAAAAAAATAAAAAGAAGCAATCATAATTGAATATTCTGATTCTTAAATGCAGCATGACTGCAGGCATGGAAGCTTTGAAATTTAAACGACCTCATTTCTTTATTTTTATAAGGTATCCCAGTCTGTTGCTTACCAGTGACTGATTTGAAGAATGAATTAAATAAAGTTCAAATTTCAGATCAACATGATGCCCTGCAAGGAGCTTGCTGTTAGGATCTCTAAGGTTGGCTTTTACAGTGGTGCCTTTGTGCTTGGGTCTGCAAGGATCCCCAGGTTATAGTGGCTTTAGGTAGAACTATGAACTCACTTCTGCTAAGCTGTTCACAAATAAGCTGCTGCTGAAGTTTAACAAGCAGTGATTTCAGTTAATTAATAGCATCATACGAAATTTGTGACATTTTCTTAAGTGAATTTCTTGTTTGGAGTGACATTAGACAGTCCATGTTTTGCAGACATTGTTTTGCAACTTTGTGACTCTGTAACCAAAGGATAAGGTTAATTACAAAAAAATACTTCAATATGGTTGTTCAACGGGATTATGTGTTGTTGAGAATAGGGCATGACATACTTCACTTAATTTTGTTTTTCCTATGATAATTGCAACCATATCCATTTTTAATTGCTGGTTTTGTCAATGAATACTAGAAACTTTTCTCCATAGCAGTGTGTGTTCATTGAACTGAAAGAATACAGCTTCTGAATTTCTCCAGTGGGAAGATCTTCATAGTCCAAGGGTGCTTCTCTTGTTTGTGTACTACCCATCAAATATGAAATATTTTTGGTGGATGAAATGTAAACCTAGATAAAGTTGGATTTTGCAGTCCTTCAAAAGTACTATTTAATTATTAGAGCTGACTAGCAAGAAAAGGGTGCTTGAAAGATAATACCTTGGTGCCTGGCAGCATGGAGACATCAGGACTGATTGTTACTTTTGGGATCCCATAATTTACAAAAAGAATCAAGTGAATAGTAAGGAAAAGAAAGTAAGCGGTACTAAACAAAAGGGTAAAAGTCTGATAGAAGAGCTGTGCAGCTAGATAAGAGTTTAGTCGACATGTGACTTGAAGTCACGTAACTTCATCCTGTAAGGTAGGTAAATTTTGCTAAAATACAGGCTTCATAGTAGAGGTTGTTTCTAAAACCAAATTTATTTTCTTACTGCTACAGGATCCAACTAATTCAAGCCTATTTGCAGAACTGTTTGCCGTCTGCATTAATTTGTTCTTTGTCTTGTGTTTTGTAGGTCGAGATAAAAATGAAGAAGCCTGAGGCTGTAAGATGGGAGAAGCTGGAGGGGCAGGGAGATTCTCCTAAGTTAAAGCAATTTACACCAGGTTTGTTCTCTGAACTATTAAGTATTAAATGGTTTATTTGTATTAAGTTACTTGCAGTTGTTAATAATATTTTTGTGTTAAATATTGTTAATAAAAATCACAGCTTCATATTTACAACAAAGAGCCTACTAGTATTGTTTTTACTGCCAGGAATTGACAGAAAAAGTCTGCAGGACATTACTAAAACATAGGTATTAATTTAGTCATAACTTCTATTAATCTGATGGATTTTTAAAGTTGTATGCTGGTCATTAATTCCTCTGGCTTATCTGTTTGGCTATCTGTTTTGGTCACTGTTTTGCAGTTCTGTGCGTTGTTACGCCTCTATTGTTGCTTAAATAATCAAGTATTATTTACTTAAGCATTCCATCTCTCTTAGAAAGCAATACTTTTGCAGTTTTTCAAGACAGGTTAATGATCTGTCTTTGAAAGAATTTGCATTTCCTGATTTACTGATTTCAGGTATTTTTTGAAATGTAGCTCAAATTTTCCTATGGCTCTAGGCTGCTGGCTCTTTTTTTTTTTCCCCCTCCTTACTGTCAGCCAATACCTCCTGCCTCATTTTGACTTCAGTTTGTGTTGCTCTTATCCAGTGTTTTGTTGTTGGATAACTAAATTATGTAACTGTGTTTACTTAAAAGTAAACTTTTGCAACTGCTGAATGTAGTCTCTACCATTTCTTAGTTTCCTTAATTTTTGTTACTGCAATACGTATCAGTAAGGAAGAATCCATTTACATTTTCAGATTCATGTTCCATTATCATCTCTGATTCATCGGATACATATATGTCTGTGTTCTCTGCTGCTCTAAAAGACATGAGAAAACGCTTAGTTAACTAACACTTCTGTCTTCAGATACCCAGCACTTGTATCCATCATCGTCTCACTATACGAGGAACTGGGACAAACTGGTAGTTGAAATCAAAGAAGAGGAAAAGAATGAGAAGTTAGAAGGAGATGCTGCTTTAAATAAACTCTTCCAGCAAATTTATTCAGATGGTACAGATGAAGTGAAACGTGCCATGAACAAATCGTTTGTAAGTCTTCACTCTTTTTCTCTGAAGAAATGTGCGACTTCCACGTACTGACACAATTTACTAAGCTGTGCCTGAACTGGGAAGCCTCTAGCTATAGGCCTTGGGCCTATAAAGAATGGCAGTGGTTCTGTTGGAGATACTGGTATAACAAGTCTCACTGAAAGCTCCAATGTTGTGCACTAATGAATGTGACTCCTTAAATCCAGGTTTGTGCCTCAGTGAAGCTTGTGCTTTGTCACTGGCCTCTTTGTTTCAGTTAGTGTTACCAAAGGCAGTATAGGTTTTGGCTCATCTAGAGCTTCAAGAGTCACCATGAGTGAAAGGATCAAATTTCTTTTAATTGTTTATATCTGGTTCCTTTTATTTGTAGCCTTCATGCAAGAACCTGATTGACCTTTTAACAGCTTCTTGTTAATGAAGGAACATCTCATTGTGTCCAGTATGGATAAAAGTATTGTTGGGCTGAAGATTATAGATTGATGGCTTTGTCAAATTTTGTTCCATATATACACACAGAATTTCTGTGTAACTTGCTTCTACATGAAGCTAAATTTGTCACCTTTCTTCAGAATTTGTTAATCTGCTGTAAGAAGTGTGGCTTTTGTGTTACTAGAATTCCTCTAAAAACTAAAAAGCTTTCTCTCGTATTGCAGATGGAGTCTGGAGGCACAGTCCTGAGTACCAACTGGTCTGATGTTGGTAAAAGGAAGGTAGAAGTAAATCCTCCTGATGACATGGAATGGAAGAAATTCTAATCCTATTTTTAATCTTACCATCTGTGTGTTGCCATAGTCATGTACTGACCACTGTGTATGGACATAGCGTTCTTGGAATCAAAGCACTGAATGTTCCCTTGGAATCAGGAATTGTCTTTGCATTTTGCGTGCTTTAGAAATTCCTTCATCTGCAGATGTTTAAGATATATTCAAGAGCGGAACCCTGTTTTCATCATCTCTGTCTAATTTTTGGAAATGGAGTTAATCACAGTCTAAATTTTCTACCGCCTTTATCAGCTCTGCTCTTTGGGGATGGGGTGGTCTCTAATGGGCTGGTCAGGATTATTGCCTTATGCCCGGTGTTTCTGTTCAGTAACTTATTAGATCTTGGCAACTTTGAGTAAAAACACTTTTCAACAACAGTGTTAAACTTGTTTGCTCTTCAACTCTGCTAAATAAAACTGTAAATATAACCTTTTCTATACGGTAGCTGCTTCATTTCATTTTTAGTAATTTTTTTAATGGGGGGAATCACTTAAAGCATACAGGTGAGTACACTGCTTAAAAAAAAAAAGCTGGCCTGTATAGGAGCAAATCTTGCGTTCAGTGAAGAGGATGAGATTGCTATTCTTGGTGCAGACATAAGATTTCTACTTGTGGAGTCCTTCCACCTGGGTGATAGCTTGAACTGCAATCAAGTGGTGGAAGGGAGAAAGTCAGCTGTGGCTGGAAATTTCTACAGAAAAGCGGGTCCTGTGTCTGCCTTCTCTATTCAAAATGAAGGATTTATTGCAATTGCCTGAAATCAAAGATAGCAAGCAGTTGGTTTAAGTTCTGTTACTTGAGAGTATTGGAAACTGTTTATATTTTACAGAAGGGCCCGTGCATCCTTAATTGTTTCCATCAGTTCAGCTTTTCTGTCATGATCAAATTTTTAAATAAGTGTTTACAGAAGAAGAACTGAGAAATGTAAGAAATACTGTCTGTGCTTGGATACAAGTCTGCAAGGGCCTATAGACGCTGAAAAGCTGCCTGGAAATGGTCCTGGGCGCCTGGCTCTAGGTGGCCCTGCTTGAACATGAGGGTTGGACAAGATGACTTTCAGAGGTTCCTTCCAACCTCAATCACTCTGTGATTCTTTGAAGGGATTATGAACTTAGAAAGTTGTGGTAAATATGCCTAGTCCATGTGACGCTGTCTCTTGGGAATTCGGGTACACCTGAATATTCTAAGATTCTGGAAGAATCCATGAATTGCAAATATTGGCAGCCCCCTGAAAGCCACTTCATTCCTTACTAACCATTGGATGTTGCCTTTAAATTTGCTACTTTTTCCTTGCATTCCTAATCATGTAGGCTTTTCCAGATTGTTTGTTACTGTGTTTTCATTGTATTTGATATGTTATTTTACTACAGTGAGAATTGGGTGAGCCTGGTAAAATACAAAGGCTGTTAGAAAGGTGTTTTAACAGGACAAGTGAAGTCTGCAGCTCTTCCACTAATAACTGTATGTGAAAGATGATTGGAAACCAAGGAAGAGGAAGAAAGGATGTATTCTGTTCCGCCCAAGGACTAGGAATCTAGGTTTTGATGGTTGGCAAGCACGTTGGTTTTTTTTTTCTTCCTAGTATTGTTACACTCTACCTGTGCAGTAGATAAGATACCAAGATTTTAAAATCTCACAAATCTTAAAAAGAGAGCTTGGTATTGGATGCGTGCCATAGCTGTGAACTTGAGAATGTCATATTTGGCAGCTGTAGACTGTGACTATGGTCTTGACATAACTGCGGTTTCTTGATGTGCTCAGATCACGATTATCCTGTAGAGCAAGCTGGCCAGTGATTTCTTTTTGAGTCGCTTTCAGCTTCAGAATGGACTCAGGTTTTCCAAAGCTCAAATTTGATCACCTTCAGAGCTGAATGTTATCCTGGTCTTCGAATACGACAAAGGAAGATTGATTGAATTTAGGAAGTTTTCTGTGTGTGCCTTACCTCCTGACTCTTGCTGAGCAATGTTTGCTTCTTGGAAGAGTTTCTCAAAGGGTATGCTTGTGGCATATTTCAGTGAAGGTTTGTTGGCTTTGGTGGGGAATTTCTTGCCCTTCAGAGAATTCTGAGTAGCTAGTTGCTCAGTATCTAGACCATGTGCCATCCATATGGGATGCTAACGTTGAAGTTAACTTGATTTAGAACAGGGACTTGAACTGGATTCTCCTAGATGAGTGTTTTGCTGCTTTTTATTTATGCTCTGAAAGGCATTGTCTTCCTCCTACCTCAGGAAGGAAGAAAAGGTCTGAGCGCTTCACTTTCTAACAAAATTGGGTTCTTGTCTCCTGGCCAGCCTTGCTTTGTAAATGTCATTCAGGGCACTTAACAGCGCTTAGCAAAGTCTTGATACGGGGAAAAGCCTAGATAAAAATCTCTTAAATAGGAGTGAAAAAGTAATTTGAGGATGTTTTCTGCCAATCAAGTTGTTCTTACTTACTGAGGAGAACACAGCAGGGGTTCCTCTGTCTACTTTCACTTAAAGAAGGTCCATGGGGAATATTTCATCAAATAAGCACAATGGTATTCTTGTATTAAGTGGGTACTGTTTTCAGTGCGTTGGGATTCAATTCACTTAGCTTAAGGCAAAAAAGTAAAATCAAATGCATTGCTACTTACATACTCTTGAGGCATATGTAATGCAAATATAATGCTTTAGCTTCGGGCTAAAACTTGTAGCAATCAAGTGTTAGACCTCCCTGTTCATCTCAATCCTGCGAGCGAAGTTTGCAGGTCTAAACATAATTCCAGCATGTTTCTGAGCACAGACAGATGATCTGTGTGTGTGTACACCACCCTAAAACTTTGGTGAACCAGTAATGGCTGTTCTTCTTGCTTTATGGGGGTAGTGGGGTTTTTTTTGGGGGGGGGAGGGATTGGATTAAAGCAATAGGTAAAAATCTCCCTGTAAAGTTGGTGGGAAGGTGCTTCATGAACTTAGTGGATGGTATATGTTTTGTTCTTGACAAAACACACAGAGAGAATGGTTCCAGAAGCCCTAGGTCCGGGGAAAGACAGCAGGGAGCTTAGAACCTCCAAGTAGTTGAGTAGAGGCTGTGAAAGATGATCTTAAAGGTCTTTTCCAACCTAAACGATTTTATGATTCTGTGTGGTGGAATGGCGGGGCTAGGTTAACGGTTGGACTTGATGATCTTAACGGTCTTTTCCAACCTAAACGATTCTATGAAGGATATTGGTGACAAAGGGAATTTCCTTTGGGACCAGAGAGGATGAGGAGAATTTTTTGCAGCACTTGGCTTTGAGTTGTCTGGAGACAGAGAGCTGCCCGCAAGGACAGAGTGGAGGACATTTTAATTGTGTTCAAACTTCTCTTGAGGTGTTTTTTCCCAGGCCTTCTGGTCATCTGTAGATAGTGCTTGTCTAGAAGACCCAGGCAGTTTCACGTCAGTGCTCTGAGTTGTAGTCCCATTGTAAATACGGGAACAGGACAGCAAGAGGTGACAGTAGCTTTCCCATTTAATTCCACGGGTGGGATTACTCTCCGCTACTGCTCTGGGGGTCACTGTCTGTTGTAGCTTAAGGCTGCCTCTCTCATCTTTGGCATACGTGCAGTGCCCGTGAAAGGTCCGCTGAGCCTCTTGGAGGCAGAAGACAGTGGTGCTGCTGGTTCGGTCTGACTCTTGCCCTTCCTAAGATTCTGTCCACCCTGATGTGCCAATTCACAATCTGTTCTTTGCCAAATGTACTTTTATGGTTTGTGGGGGGTTTTTTTGTTTTTTGGTTTTTTTTTTGGCAGTGCGTTGCACAAGTGACTAGTCTGTTCTTCGCTGAAACTTTTTTGGAATTTATTTGTGCTGCAGCAGGGGCGAAGTGTTACATGGAGGCAGAAGACAGATTTCCCCCCCCAGCTGCTGCTTACTTTCCTAGTGCAGATACAAGTGGAGGATGATTCCCATGTCAGAAAGGACAAAGGAGGAGACTTGGGTTTGTCCCTTCTAAATGGGGAGAAAGGGGGCTGTAGATGCAGAGAAGAGACGACTCCTGCCTTCCTATCACTGGCTTTCAGTCTTTCTAACCCTCTGCCTGCATAGCTTCGTGCCCCGTTTCCCTTCTCTTTTCCACCTGCCTGGATTTATCCCGTTTTTCTGCTCTAATCTGCTCTGCCGCCCTAGCCTTCCTAGCGTGCAGTAACATGGGTAATTAAGCTTTAAGGATAGTAGAATTACCAACCACCTGTGGCGGGAAACACCGCTGGTGACAAGCTCATCCCTCTTTCCTCCTCCCCTAAACTTTGGCCAAAAGAAGGTTGGACTTGATGATCTTAAAGGTCTTTTCCAACCTAACCGATTCTATGATTCTAAGGTTTTGAACTGGTTTCTGCTAGTGCAGGGTCAGGTTTAAGGAGCGTCCCCTCTCCCCAGACACAAACGTGTTGTTAACCTCTCTTTGCATGCAAGGTCTTACATTTGTGGAGGCAGCGGAAAGCCCATCTTCAACATTGGTAGTAAATGCTTTATGATAGGGAATAGGATTGCTGCGGATAGTTAGAACTGCAGTCTGAGCCACCGCTGTGGGGAATATCGCTACGTCTTTTCATACTGTTGGATCATTGGTTTTATTGTCATTCCTATGTCGCCTCAGAACATTTCCTTCAAAATCAGATGTTGCGCTTAAATGAGATTTTTCAACCTTGCCGCAGCAAGAGATCTTCGCTCTTTTTTTTATTTTTATTTTTTCCTCTTTGAATCTGATATATAGGTAAATAAAAATTTGCTTACTTGAAGCGTGAGTCGGGGAAGGCATTTTGCTGCCTGTCTTTTGGAAGTGGATAAATTGTGCCCTCTGCGTTGTACTTGGGCAATATTGCAGTTCTGGCAATTTTACTAGTTGCAGAGCCAGTCAGTAGCATACCTGCTTCTCTCACGATCACTGGGGCTTTCCTGGCGCTAGCGTCTACAGAAGAGTTCTCAAGACGTATGTGCTCTATGTGACAGTTTAATGTATCCATGAGCAGGATGGGTTTTTTTTACTTCGTGCGTGCTTTGGGACTGCCTATGGGAAACAACTGATACAAGCTTTTGTTATGAAGAGTTAACCTTGTTAAGAATGTTGTAGACCTAGAAATCACTTACAAGCTCTCTTTTCTTTTTTTTTTTTCTTTTTTTTAGCGTCTCCTGAAGACGACCTTTTTTATTATTCTGGGGGGGCACAAGGAGAAGCAGGCCATGGGTTGCCTTAAGATGGCCCTAAATGGCAAAAGACAGCAACAGTCTAGTTCATATGTAGAGTCACTTTTCCTTCTCTTTGCCTTCAGTGTTTCAACTTGCTGATCCCCTTGTTTTCCTCTCCAGACAGTTCTTGAATGCCTACGTAAAGGTACTGTTACACTTTCTACACTGAAAAAAGCACAGAAAGCGATTGCTGGTTTTTAATGTTTTTAATCTGCAATTTTAAAAAAAAAAAGGAAAC